AGACACCTCCTCTTTCGCTGGTCACCTCCAGCTCTGACTTCCTCCTGCTTCTGGATCACCTGGGTAACCTGTGGATGCCTTACATTTTCCTCACTAAATTATGCCTTGCTGAGCATGACTCCTTCGCCCTCCCCAAGTGGCACCATACCAAGCTGATGGAGCCTTGTGTGTAGCAGACTCACGCGAAGGGTCAGGGGTGTGGAGGGAGTTTGCAGCATCACAAACAACTTCACGGCACAATGGACACTCCATTCTCAAACATTCTTGGGCATTCCTACTGGCTGCTCTTCTCAGCAAGGGGCAACTTCCAGCCATATTACACAAACCCCTCTTCCTCCTTTCCTCTCTCATCCTACCCCAAATCCTGTTACATTTTTGTGCAAAACGTATTTTAACGATGTCATTGATTTTCTCCTTTGCCATTGACCAACCTCTTGGGGCCCATCTTCTGCACTTCCTATTTTTCTACTTATTACTTTAGTTTACTGTTCCAAGACACTTTTTAGAGAAGGATGAGGCTCAAAGAAGGGTCAGGAAGGGGAGAATGTAAATGGCCATTGTAGGTGGATGAGGAGTGTGCTGTGGAGGGGTGGGAAAAGCTCTGAAAAGCACAGAGCTGAGGCAAGATCAAGGCCCAGATTCAGGACGGCCTCTGGCGGTGGCTGTGCCAGTGGTGGGGCCCGTAGGAGAGGCTTGTGGGCAGTGCAGGCGTCGAGGCCCCTCAGATGGGCCAGGTGTCAGATGGAGATTGGGTGGAGATGAGAGGAGCCACTGAACCACAGCCTCAAAACTTCTGCCACTTCTGCTGTTGCTGCAGCCCCCAGGGTCTGGCTGTCAGTCACCATTAAAATAGCGCCTTGGAGGTACTTCAAGGAAGCCTGGGGATCAGAGACCAAGGCGGAGTCCAGGAAAGGATTTTATTAGTCCATTCTCATCAACTAGAGTGAACAGGGCCAGGGGCAGCTACAGTATTTGTGAATTAGGGGGTGGGATCTAGGAGAGCTGGCGGTGGAGGTTTTTGGAGGAGCGTAGCCTTCAGGGACTTTACTGCCTTCTTCTAAAACATGGGTCTCGCCCAAATGGATGTACTCTCATTTGCTTCCAGAAGCTCCTCCTTGCTCTTTTTTCAACTGCCCCAGGCCTGGCAAGGGACACTGCTCCGATGATCTTAGAGCCTGGGCTTCTTTCATGTTAATAACTATAACAACAGCTAATATTTACGAATGCTTTACCTGAATGTACTCATAACAAACTTAGGGAAGTAGGCATTCTCTCTATTTTAAAAAGTGAGCAAATCAAGACAGAGAAGTTGAGGAGTTTTCCCAAGGCCACATAGTCAGCAGATTTGGGGCCTGGGAATCAAAACCAGACTGTTTAGCGTCCGTCCCAGTGTTTAACCACCACACCAGCTGCCTTTTAGTAGACATTTGAAGCATCAGCTGGGTAAAGGGCAACTCCAAATATATGGCCAATCAGAAAGTATGACATATTCCTCAATCAGAAAAATGACAAAAGAAATGGTTTGACCATTTTGAATATGTAAACATGTATCACAAGAAGTTAATTATTCCTGTAAAAATTATGTACGTTGTGCCAGTCAGGGTTCTGCACTCCAAGGGGTGGAAATCGACTCTGGCTGCCCTAAAGGATGTTGGGTAACTGGTTGAACTGAAGGGCAGGGTGGAAAACCAGGACTGAGAACGGAGCCTCTGCCTGGCCCGCTTGGCTGTGAGGACGCTGCTGACCTGCCTCGCATTGCTGACAGCACTGAAGTTAAATGTTAAGACATACATTCAGAGACGTGCCCGCTCATAAGCACATAGCTCCAAGAACTGACAGTCAGCACACTCATGTATGCACCCGGCACCCAGCAATATGCAGAACATTACCAGCATCCCATATGAAAAAGTTCAGTGTCAACAAATATTTAAAACAATTTCCTAGAGCGGGTGCTCATTTGTATTCCTACTAGCGATGTAGGAGATTACTAGCTCTTCCACATGCTTCACAACCTCTTCCTGTTGTCTTCTTCATACTAGGCTTTTGGGGTGGATTTGTAAAGGGATCTCACTATGGTTTCCATTTGAATTTCTCTGATAATTAGTGAGGCTGGACACTTTTCCACATCATATTGACCGTTTGATCTTCCATTTTGTCTTTGTTTTTTCAGTTTTGTTTTCTATTGAGTTGCCTGCCCGTTTCTTATTGATTTGTAGAAGTTCTTTATGTATTCTGGATATAAGTCCTTTATTGATGCCTATTGCAAATACCTTCTCCCACTCTGTGGCTTGTGTTTTCACTCTCTTATGATATCCTTGGACAAAAGTTCTCTATTTTAATGTAGTCCAATTTATTGATTGTCTTCCCTTTATCATTAGAGCTTTTTGTATCCTTTGCCTACTCCAAGGTCAGGAAAATATTCACCTACATTTCCTTCTAAAGGCTGTATGGCTTAACCAGGGTATCGCTTTTTAAAAACGACCTTTAAGTGTTTCAATTATGATGATGGACAGTTGCAACTCTCCTGAGAATAGTTGCTAAATCTGTGTTAAAATGTTTGTCCTCTCTTTTAAACAGGCCATGTCAGTCAGGTTTATGTCAGATCATGTCTGAAAGCACCAAATATAAGCAATGGTTGGGATCACCGTAAGGCTAATGGGTCTCCCCAAATGATTTTTATTGTTCAAAATAAAGTAATTAAGAGTTCCATCAGTAAAGAAGAAACTCTCACTCTATATAAAAATGGTATATTTCAGCTCTGTTTTGATTGAAAAAGATAGGAATTCAACTGCAAGTAGCTTAGAGAAACAAAAAAAAAAAAAAAAAGAAAGAAAGAAAGAAAAAGAAGAAGAAAGAAAGATGAGAAGGTCATAGAGGGAATTTGGCTCTAAATCCTAATAACCAGGAAGAACAAGATGGGTCTTGACTTCAGGCACAGCTTGATCCAGGCATTAGAACAATATATTAGGGCTGTACTTGTACATCTCTCTATCTACCTATACCTCCTTCTCTCTATATTTTGGCTTCATACTCAAGAGGAAGAAAAGATAGTCACTAAAAGCTCTATGTCTATATTCTTATAATTTATAATCCAAGAAGAGAGACATTTATACATTACATCTCTGAGAAGGCATTATTAAATTTACTTGTGTCATGTGTCCACTCCTGAACATAGTACTGTGATCAGGGAGCTGGAATAGTCTAAGTGGTCAGGCTGGGTCACATGTTTACCCGTAGGACACGGGAGGAGGGTCGGCCAGTGTGAATGACAGTGCGCTTTGCGTGTCGGATGGGTGGGCAGTTCCTCAGTGGGAAAGTGAGGCGGTCTTTTCAGACATCCACTAACATACATTTCTGTTAAACGAAAGTGGCAAGAGAAGGAAGAATCTCTTGGTGCCAAGGGGTTTCCCCAGCCTTTCTGCTTTTTATAAAATTCTGTATGACAGGAGCTGTGCTAGGTGCTGGGGATAGACATAAAAAAGCCATTTTCTGTGCCTTAAGGCCCACACAATCTTTTAGCTGAATAGAAACATCAAAAGACAAATGCAAGACAGTGTGCTGTTTGCGAGATGGAGGCCTGCACATGTTGCAGCAGGTGAATCTAATGGTGCCTACGGAGGGCCAGATAGGGAGCAAATTGAGCTAACTCTTAAAGAGGGGAAGTTTTCTGGAAGATGAGTAGAGGAAGCACGAGGGTGACTTCCAGGAACAGAGAGCCGCTGAGCAAAGGCAGAGAGGCATAGTGACTGGAGGGTGTGTTCAAATGGAAATCCAGCAGGGTGGTGGCCAGAGATTCTCTACTGCTGGCCCCACCCTGGCCAGGCGGGAGTGGGCACAGGTATTAAAGGGGGCAGAGGGAGATATTATCTCTGATAGGCAACCTCATAACTGGTGGCGGCTTTGGACCCTAGCAGTGCTTGCGTTTCGGCCATACCAAAATGGAGTCTTGTCCAGTCTATTAAGGGCTTTTGCGAAGGTTGTGTGAAGAGGCTCAACCTTCCCACCCCTTCTTATCAAAGCAAAATGTGCACTGCTGAGCTGTTGCTACTTTGAGGCATGTTTACCTTTGAGCTCAAGTTGGTGCTGCCCTTCCACTGAGGTTCTTTTCCTTTCCCTCTCTCCTCTGCACCTGTGTGTGCGTGTGCGTGTGTGTGCGTGTGTGTGTGTGTGTATGCGCGCGTGCACGGGTGTGCCTGCATGCTCTGTTCTCTCTCTCACTTTGAAAGACTGCCTGCCCTGTGTCATGTTGACAAGGAGAAGACATGCTGGGAAAATGTCACAGCTGAATGGTCCCAAGGGAGGCAGCTTTGTCAAATGCCAAACATGTGGGAAAGATACGGCCTGCTGGGGCCTGGGGAGGGGGTGGCGAAGCGAGAGTAGGCAAGGAGCTGGCAGCGTTGGTGTCCCTGGGACAGTCTTAGCATTTGTTTCAGGGCAAGCTGAGGGTAGCAGTCTGTCACTAGGGAAGGGTGAGGTGAAACTCTGTGTAAAATTTGGGGCCCAGCCTTGCCAGCCTGGGCTCTGGGGATGAGGAGGAAGACTGACAGATGAGTTTGGGCGCAGAGGATCCACAGCCCCTTCTGGGGTTTGGAGAGAGAAGCTTCTCATCCAAGGACACATTTGAATCCTCCAGAGGGGTTTTGAGCAGACTCGGTAGAAAACACAGAAGTCGGCGGGAGGGTAAGCTTTAGACAAGATTTTCAGGACCCCTACTCTGATTTCAACATGAACGGCTAGAGAGCCTGTCCTAGGACCTGGAAATTTTCCAGGCACAAATGAACACAACTCTGGGTACCTCTGTGAAATCACAGTATCTGTGGGTTTTGGCCAAGACTTGACGGTTTTGGACATTTGCTGAGCCATACTGACACCAAACCCATGAACTCAGCGTGCCATAGGTTGGATTCTGTAAGAAGCAGTGCTCATGCTTTGGGAAAATAGAAAGGCTCTTTCTCTTTATTCCGTGCAGTAAAGAGTTGTCTCTCATTTCTTTCTCCCAGGAACCCATCAAATACTGTTTCTTCAACAAAAGCCACATCTGTCCATATCCCTGCATTCTAACTGTAGAAGGGAACAGGCGAGGAGAACTCAGGTAACCAGTTAGAAAACTGTACTATCATGCCCTGAAACACTGATTTAGGCAGCAATTACTTCTTTCTATTCACAGGTATTCCCCAATTTCGTGAAGTGCTTGATCTTGGGAATAGGACAATGGATGTTTTCTATTCACCCATTCATTTAATGAACATATTGTAAGAACTTATTATCTCCCATGATAGGGGCTTTGGGGGAAATCAGAAAGCAGTAATACATGATCTCTGTCTTCAGGAATCTCATCGAACCATAGGAGAAAGAGGGGGTGGAGACAAATAAGGATAATTCAATGTAAGAAGCAATTGGCCTCAAAATAAAAGTTTAAATAAAGGGCTATGCAGTCACTTCTTATTGGTTACAAGAAACTTATGGCTACCCTAAGCGAAAAGAGATTTATTAGGATCCTGAGATCATTCACAAATGAGGCTTCAGAAGGTCAGAAATGAGAACAACTCCTGGGAGTCCCAGATATGGACTCAGTTTTTCGGAAGCTGCCCTAAATTCCAACCACATTTCATCTTGTTACTTCTTTTTTGTTCTGCTCAGATGAGCTTGTGACAGTCTCTTACGCAGCCTCTTCCTTACAGTGTCTTATCAGAGGGTGCCAGAAGTAGCCAGACACCCTAGCATCCAAGCCTGGAAGGAGGTCGCTGCCGCTGCCACCCATCTGTCATCAGCCCACATCTTAGAGGCTCTCACCTTCATCATCCTATTTCCAGGTGAGGTGGGCGAGGTGCCGCACTTGGCTTAGCCTGGATCAATGTTTGCTTTTTAACCTTCGGGCTAAGAAGGTATCTTTTAGAAGAAGAAAAGGTGGAGGAGCTTATGCTCAGCGGAAAGGACACTAAACTGTCACCTACAAGTGATATAGATACTCAGAGAGAGGAGAGATAATGTCTAGATGGTGGAATCAGAGAAAGCTTCGAAAAAGGGCTGGAATTGGAGCTGGATTTTTGATGGAGGTAAACTTTTAGTAAGTCTGCCTCAGTCATGCCTTGCTTCTATGAGAATGCCCTCCCCTCCGCCCCCCACCCCGGCAATACAGTTACACTCACACAGAGGCACACCCAAGCTATAACTGATGCCTTTCATCTGCATGGCCACAGCCAAGCAGATGGACTTGAATGGCTGCGTGTCAGTCCAGTGGGTAAGTTGACCCAATGAAGCTCTTCCCCTCTACATTGGGAATTGGCGTATCCTACAAGATGCTAGTCAGTTGATCAATGGGTTTGGAACTAAGAAAATATGTAAAAGCCTGAGGTGCCCATGTTTGGCCAGTCTATATGGGAAGGTAAGAAAACAGAATCTGAAAGCAACAGAACAGACTCATGAGAGGGAGTAGAGACAGAGCATATTTGACTAGTGAGGAAACAGGAAGTATGGAGAAGAGTATGGAAGGAGAGAATGAGTGACTGCTCCCTATGGCTTTCCACTTTATTCCAATGTCCTGTAAGGTCTAGTTGTACTGCTACTTTTGGTTTTCATGAGATATACTTCTATCTTTCCACTTAGTTTCTTTTGAGTCAATTTCTGTCTGTTGCCACCCATGAAGGATAGTGGGACATGGACCTGCTGAGATGGGCCAAGAGGCAAGGAAGAACATTACAGGCAACTTGAGCAAAGCCTGAAGGTGGGGGAGCAGGGGGACTTAATTAAGATCAGTAAGAATATTTCATTTTGTAAACAAAGGCTAGGAAGTGAGATGAGAAGTAGGTAAGGTCAGACCGTGAAGACTAAGGCATTTAGAAAGTCAACTGAGATGTAGGATGGAGCCACTGAGTTTTGGGCCTGGAGAATGCACTAATAAGACCCAGGCTTTAGAAAATCACAGTGAAAAATCACAGTGAGTGGACACCAGTTTTGTATCCAAAGAGGGTGTGAACCTCCTGCTTCCTCAGCGAGGGGAAGATACTCTGTCTGTGCCTTACTTCCCTATGATCTGATCTGGCCTGGGGTAGCTTATTTCATACTGGATATGCACCCCTTTTCTCCTCTTTATGGCGGGGAGCACCCCAAACACAATCCTGACTCTTTTATTCCGTTTCCCAGACCAGTCATGTCAAAGCTGGAGTGGAGAATGGGAATAGAGATTTTTAAAACCTGAATGGTTCAACTTTTTGAAATACCTATTTTCCAGGCAAATTTCCTCTCACCTACAATAAGCAGATCGTATAAATCGATGCTCTCTGATGTATTTCAGTTTTGAGAACACTGTTTGGATGGCTCCAAAAAGACAGAGAAAAGTTGCCTGATGATAGAGGTTGTTATTTATTTATTTACTTATTTAGTTATTTAATTGTATTTTTTGTTAATGATTTTTTTTTTAATATCACTTGTACAGAAAAACATCTTCATGCCCACACCCCAGCTCATCCAGCCATGGGCAGTAAGGTACCAACCTGCAGTCTCAGATTTATGAGTTCCTTGTTTGTCACCGCATGCATTCCCTTTTATGAGCCCTCCGTGACAGGAAGAGAAGCCTAAGGAGCATTGAAACAGTGAGTACCAACTAATTTAGCAGCCCAGCCTACTCTCAGCAGTGATGGCTAATAACCAGGCTAGAAAGTAGAGATGATTTTAAATAAAATGATTGCCGAGGGGAAGTTGAAAGAGTCCCGTAAAGGCCTAGGAAGGTACGTCCTGGGGAAAGTCAGGGCCGAGGGGTGAATCTTTTGGTGTGAGGTGGGGGATTCTAGACAGGCTATGAAGGAATAAGCCAGAACTATAGTAATCACACCCAGCCCTATCACTACTTGCTGGTGACAGCAGTTCTGGCCAATTAGCCAGGGCTTCTCCCCATTTCCTGTGTTTTCCAGCACCGCTAATGGCTGTGAGGTCAAGAGAGTATCCTCGCTTCAACATCCGCCTCATCACTGCCTGGCACTACTTACTAACGGTCGGTTCTGCAGGTGACAGTTCTTGGCAGCATAGGTTTGGGTGCCAGTGGGGAACAACCCTAAGAGGGAAATGCAGAGAAGTGTAAACAGTAGAAAGGCTGACAAGAAACACGGTTAATGGAGACCAGGTGGTCCACTGAGTTTTGCCCAAGTTGTGTGGAAACAGAGCTTGGCTGTGGCACAAAGGAGGGTCAGTGCCCCACTCTGGGCGCCAGTCCCATGGCCTTTAAAATATGGAGCTTGGGAGGTGCCCGGGTGGCTCAGTCGGTTGAGTGTCTGACTTCGGCTCAGGTCATGATCTTGTGGTGCCTGAATAAGAACTCCATCTTGGGCTTGCTGCTGTCAGCGCAGAGCCTGCTTTGGAGCCTCTCTCTCTCTCTCTCTCTCTCTCTCTCTCTCTCTGCCCCTCCCCCACTTATGCTCTCTCAAAAATAAATAAAACATGAAAAAATTTGTAAAAATAGTAAATGAAATGTGGAGCTTGGAACAGAAGGCCTTAAGGGCTCGCTTGTTCTAATGTTTATGCGGTGTTGACCCTGTGGACAGCAGATAGCACTTGGGTCCACCCTCTGTCACTTGGAGAGGAGGTGGGAGGGACATCATCGCTTTGGATGAGGCCTGTCCATCGTCTGAAGAGACAAGCGGGCACGATAAAACCTAACTGGCTCCCTGGGGGATTTGGGTGGTATTCCCATAAACTGATAGAAAACAAAATCTTCCTTTGCCTAACTTTTCCAAAGATAGGCCAACAGCCAGCCCTCTTCCCTGCTATTTGAGTGGACAAGGGTTGAACTCTCTGTATAACCAAAGTGTGTGGAATGCGAAGAGTGCTCCATCTGCATTTACTCAGTGTTTGAAAATCATTGTTTCAAGTGTTGTTGGTTTTTTTTAACCAGTGGTTTCCACATCTCTTTGGTTGATGTGATTTAAATGAATAACACTTCAATTAGTCCAATCATCTCACCAACGCAGAAATCTTTTCTACAATTTATTCCTCCCTTCCTCTCTTCTCCCCTCCAAGAGACGGTTTTGATGCATGTGCTGAGAACAGAGCGGTCAGAACAGATAACCCTTCAAGTGGTTCCTGGGGCAGCTGAGAGGCTCAGTCAGTTAAGTGTCTGATGTTGGTTCAGGTCATGATCTCACAGTCAGTGGGTTTGAGCCCCATGTCGGGCTCTGTGCTGACAGCTCAGAGCCTGAAGCCTCCTTCGTGTTCTGTGTCTCCCTCTCTCTCTGTCCCTCCTTTGCTCATGCACTCTCTCTTTCTCTCAAAAATAAATAAACATTAAAAACATTAAAAGCAAAATTCAAGTGGCTCCTATGTCCAGTGGGGGCAATAGCCCCATAGACATAGCGCAGTACACGGACACATGATATCTGAGCACTGTGTCTGGCACACAGTAGAGATTACTCAGTGCATTTTTGTCCATAAAGAAAAATAAAGGAAAGACCACACCCTCCATAGGTTTGCTCTCTGCTTTTGAGGTAAGACTTTTGTCAGGAAAAGTCTCCCCTGGTTGAACTGATTTCTGGGTCTGTGTTTTCACCGGCCGGCCCTTGTTTTGCCTTCTGCCCCGCCACCCCCCTCAAAATACCCTTCATCCCTTATGAACTATCTCAGTGATCCAATGATCGCCTTTATCTGCCTTTCCCATCCCATAGTTCTGCTCCGTTGGCCAGGGAAGAGACATAATCCCTGCAAGATGCTCCACAGGGTAAAATCTTGGGTGTGCTCGGCTGCCTTTGTGAATCTCCTTTACTTGGGTTTACTTTTGTAGAGGTAAAAGTTCAAAGAAAACCCCGCTAAAATGTCCCCTTACTGTAGTAACACACCACACCTGTAGTCTTGCAGCTCACCTACAATGTGTCTGAGGCGGCCCTTAACTCCCCAGCGCACCGGAAATGCTAAGCGCCGCCCCCTCCCCCACCACCCCAAGAAGCTGAGGCTCACTCTTTGCTGTGCTGGGCCTTTAAGGATTCCATCGTAATCTGAAAGTAGGAAACATGAGCACAGCCATGAAACTGTAAGACTACTTATCCCAAAGTGAAAGGGAAATGGACACAACGTTCAGTGTGTAGCAGCTAAAGGATAGTGAAGAGGATGCTCAGCTGTGATTCCAAATTTGACTCGAGCATCTTTCTCACATGACTCTTCCATGAGATACAGACCTTTCTTTTCCGAGTCAGTCCCCTCCATGGCTGTATTACCTTAGTGGACTTGAGGTCCCTTATCCTCCTTCTGAGCCCAAGCTTGGAGCTCACTTTTGATCATCTAAATTTCAGTTTTAGCTCCCAGCAGCCCTTGTTAGTTTACTAGGTCACAAAGTTTCTTTAAAACTAAATCAAACCATTTTTAAATTTATGAGGCTGAAGTTTCTTGGCTGTAGGTGGACAATGATGGCAGTAAAAGGGAATCAGATTTTAAAACTTGCTTTGAGGTGTTGAACAATTGTGTTTGTGGTGACTTTACAATCCTGTGGGCATTTATTTTGAAGTTATCATTTGATGCTATAGTTTGGCCACTTATATTTTCTCTGTCAATTTCTCCTCTAAGTTTTGTGCCTCAGCTCAGCACAGGAGTGTCACTCGTTGAAACAGGGCAATGTTGCTCTCTGTATTGGTTTTCCGATCTCTGTTCCATTATAAGATTTTAACAGATAAAGCCAGAGCATGCTGCACCTATAGACTGAAGAGGCAGCACCTGCTCAGAGTGGCCTACGAGTCAGAGAAGCCCCTCTCCCTCTTCCTAGCTCTAGACATGCTGAGGAAGTGTTTTCCTGTTTTCAATATCGTTCCATACTCCCAGGGTATCAGCCCTAATTAGTAAGACTGTAGGAGTCAGAATAGCGCATGTCTCTTACCAGCACATAAACCTTTCAGAGTTTTGGGTTTTGGTCAGTTGATCAGGTGGAAACTCATCAAGGTGGCAGAGAGGAAGGGAAACCCACATCAATGGGTTAGAGAGACAGAGAGAGGGGAAGCGAGAGTGAAACTGAGCACTATTTTAACTGTTTGCCATGTGGCCTGGAAAAAAGCCTATGTGAGTGATTTGTCTCTGGAAGACTTCAGTTTTCCATTTTTGTCTCTCCTCCCTTATCAAAGATCTCTTATTGGCATGAGAAAAAAAACTTAATCCATATGCTGATGACTTCCTAATTAATGTCTCCATCCAGACATCACCTTGCCTTCATGACATCCCATCGGATGACTAATGAATACTTCAGATTTAACACGGTCAACCCAAGGTGCTCAGATCTTGCTCCTTTTACAGTCTTCCCCCTCTGACTAAATGCCAGCTCCAGTCTTCTGGCTGCTGAGGACTAAAACCTTGGAGTCACCCCCCACCCCCCCAAAGCTGTCCCTCACGTTCCATATTGTTTACAACTGCAGTCTCATTGGCTCTACATTCACACCACATCCCAAACCTGATCGCTTCCCGCCACCTCTGTTGCTGCTATGCTCATTCAAACCACTGTAACTTCCTCCTTGGGTTATTGTAAGAGTTCCCAGCCAACTCCCCGCTTCTACTCGACTCCCTAACACCCTGCTCATAGCACAGGAAATGGGGTGATCCTTTCAAAGTTAAGTCAGCCTATGCCACTCCTCCACTTCGCATCTGCATACGGGACCTAAAAGGCCCTACACAATCTGTGCTTTTATCTCCTACTACTTTGCCCCATGCTTACTCCTCCTGGCTACTCTGCCTTCCGTGCTTTTTATGAAGGTGAAGGACATACTCCTGCCTCAAGTACTTTCCATGTGCTTTTCTTTCCCTTTTCAGTGCGTCTCCTGGGGAAGCCTGAGTCGCTTATTTCTTTGTCTCCTTCAGATTTTACTCCCATCTTATCTTCTCATGGAGACCAGTTCTGATCATCCTCCATAAAATTGTGGCCCCACTGAATACTTTCTGCTCTGGTTCCTAATTTTGTTGTTGTTGTTTTTTTTTTTTTTTTTTTTATCTTAGGACTCATCACCATCGTGCCACTGTCTGGCGCCCTGTAACAGGTGGCTAGTGCTGAGTAACAAGCCCTCCCATGCCCCAAGGACAGCAGTCATTTATTTTTCCGGCTAGCACATCTGTGCATTGGCTGAGGTTTAGGGGATCTAGGCTGGGTTTGGTTTCGTGGTCTGGTCTGGCCTCCTCCTTGCAGGTAGGGCTCAGGTAGGCTCCAGGTGAGATTACCCAGGGGCCCATGCTGAGGGGGCAGCAGCTGCCCCAGGAAAGTTCTTCTCGTGATGATGGCAGAGGTAGAAGACAACAAGCCCAGTCTGCAGACAGGTTTTGGAGACATTTTTAGCCCCTTTTGGTAATGAGAGCATATTGATGGTCTGTGTGTGTGTGCGTGTGCGTGTGCGTGTGCGTGTGTGTGTGTGTGTGTGATTTATTCATTATCTCTTTTTTGTCTTGAGATGAAATGTTCATATTAGTCAGACATGGCTCATTCTGTCACTGCATTTGCTCAGACATTACCTTTTCAGAGTGACTTTCTCCTGACAATCATTTCAAAGATAGCACTCCTTATCCTACTTCCTTGCTCTGCTCTATTTAAAAATAGCATTTATCTCTCTAAAACTTTATAGCAAACATTTGTTTGTTTGTTTCTTTTGTCTCTCCTACAAGAATATAAGCTTCATGAGGGCAGAGATCGTCTTGTGCACCAATGAATTCTCACCTAGAACAGTGCTACGAGCCTAACAGGCTTTCAATAAACATTGCTGAATGAATTCTGAGAAACTGATATAAAAGTAGTCTAAGACTGTGTTGGACGAGAGGGCTGTGTCCCTGAATTGTGTGGTGTTACCCTGCAACATCCGTGTCTTCGGGGAAAAGCTCTTTTTGGACACAACATCAATATTTTTGGCATTTGTGTCTTCTTATTTGCTCACAAAACACTGTCTGCATCCCTGGGAGAGCACCTCTAAATTGTTCTTGATACTGCATGTGATGCTTTGATTATTTCTGAAGCCATTCCCTGAGCCTGTAATATATCTGTACCTCTTGTCTGCAGATACTTTGAAAATGGTAGAGCCGAGCTAAAAATACTCAGAAGTAGCTAAGCAGGCAGCATTGCCTCAACCCTGCACGCTGACTGCTTCTGTGTCTTCTCCTTGCATCTGGTATCAAAACACAAATCTTTAACATGGGAAGATATTCGAGTCCTCAAGCAGTATCTTTGGGCTATTATTGTCACAGTTAATGCACAAGGCAGCTTTTGAAAACCCCCGAATAATGTTCTCTAACCTGTCTGTCTAGGTACCCACCTTGCTCCTACAATGAGAATGTTGTAATCAGATTCATCCCAAAGACCCTAACATTTATATAATTTAGAACTACAATAACTTAAGAAACCCACATATTTATATAGCATTCGTCCTTTTAGGGAGCACTTTCAAATTTCACATTTTATTTCCTTTTACGTCAAAATAGGTCCATTTGACATAGGACCAATGAGGCCCCAGAGAGTTCACCGACATCCTGAAGGTCACTTGGCTAACTGGCGACCAAGTCAAAATCTCCATCCTTCTGCGTTGTGCAGACTATGAAAACTGAAATATTAAAGTAACCTCATCTGACACCCAGTATTGACTTCTTTTTTTTAGATTTGAAAATATATCAGTAAGGTTAAAAAATAAACTTGAGAGGAATATAAGTGTGCCTTGGCAAAGCTGTCGGGCCGGATAATCAATTATGTGTTTTCCCTATGACCCCGTCACCATATTTATGAGGATAAAACCAGGAAGGTTTAATGGAGTACGGTGGGTACAAAAGGGCAGCATGAAATGTCAAGGGAATGTATCTAAGGGGAGGTGGGGGGTTGTTTTGTTTTTCTAACCCTATCTTTCTCAAGCCCTCTCACATGGGGGCTTCATCCTGGCCAGTACTTGAGCCTGCTATGAGCTATGGGCAACAAGAACGCCATCAAGTCCGTATCACCTTTTGGCCACAGCAGGGATCAGTTCCTATAACTGGGTTTCTGTTTGAAGTCCTGGCCTGAATATCAGACCATTTATTTGGTGCCCCAACGCCCCCATCCAGCTTCTACAGTTCATATCCTGAGGGGGTTGATCGGGTTTTGTTTTCTGTGGATTCAGGCACTGAATATGGGACTATGAATGGATTGATGGTTGGTAATGCTGCTACACCGCCCACCCGACTTTGGGCATGATGGGTGGTGTTCAGTGCTAACACCTCAATGCCTGACTTCCTACCTGGAATGTGGTAGGTAGTCAATGAGTAAATGCCTGAAAAAACAAACACACTCTCTGGATTCCTATCCCCACTTATTGGAGAGATAGGGCATCTGTCTGAGAAAGACCTGAATTACGTCATCCCTTTGGACTTTGAGTCTTGGGCTCTCCATCTGCATTCATGGTACCGGTTTCCAACTAATTTATCATTGCCGCTTCCAGACTCATGGACAAGCACGTGCCTCACATGGGTCTGTGATTCACTCACTCTTTTTATCCAAGATGGCTGCCGCAATCCCTACCACTACTGCTTGATAGTGAGTGGAAAGACCGCTCCTTTCTGAAACCAGCAAGTGTGCCCTTACTAAATGAATTCTAAAAGTGTTTTCTGAGGAGAAGGAAGGAGAATTCTCTGGCTCATGCTCAGGAGTTTGAAAGCAGAATTAGATTTGGCAGTAGGAAAAATTCAGTTCCATTTAACAGAGATTTATTTATTTTTAAAGTACTTTTATATGCCTGGAACCACAAAGTTGAATAAAAAGGAGTCAGTCATGGACTCTGCTCTCTAGGGATTAACAATCTAGTGACTGAGGAAGACCCACTAGTAATGGAAGTAGGTGCAATAATTCTAGAATCAGGCAGACTTCGTGAGTGCTATAGCAGGGCAAGAGTAGAACGCTTGTGGGGCTCAGTGTTTATCATCTATTTTTGGAAGACTGAGGAAGGGAGAAGTCTTAAAGTACGATAACTTCTCCTTGGTGTCTTCTCATTTCTTTTATGGGAACTTCTCTTTAAATTAAGTTGCATTAAATTGAAATTTTGATTGGTTAATGCATTCTAATCTTCAAAGACCGAAAATAATTTCAGTAGGTATACATTAAGAAGTCTTATTCTCACCATGTTCAGGAGTTTTGCTCTCACCGTGTCCCATTCAGACCATTCCTTCTGCTCCCGTATCCCACAGGTAGGTTTTTGCATTGGTTTCTTACATATTCTTCTGGGCTATTTTATGTAAATAAAGCAGAGAATACTCATTTTTATTCCACCTTTTTTCTTCCACAATATGAACATTATATACAGTGTCCATCTTGCTTTTTTTTCTCCTTCACAATATACCCCAGAGATGATTCTCTATCAATAAATAAAGAGCTTATTTATTCTTGCTTTATAAATGCATAGAAAGCCTTGAAGTTCATTTAGCCATCTCCCTATAGATGAACACTTGGGGTGCTTCCAACTGTTTGTTAAAAATTTTGTTGCACAAACCATTTACGTACATTGTTTTATATATGTGCAGCTGTATCTACACGGCAAATACCCAGAAGTAGGATCGCTCAGAGATCCACTGTCTTTTCTTATTTTTTAAAATCAAGTTCATCATTACTCCCAGTCTCAGAAATAATGTACTTGGCCATACCGACACTCAAAGACCAAAGCAATGGATCCCTTAGGGTTGAATTCTAGTTCTATGAGAAAATATTAAGTGAGATCCTAAGACCCTTTCTATATCTTAAGATATAGAGGAAGCCACTTATTTCTACATAGCTCCCTTATATGACTGACTGTATTATCAGATCCTGATTTCCAGTTCCATAAATATTTGTTTTGGCCAGTTAGTGGTTTGCTTTGCCCTCATTCACCTGTTCAACCAATAAATGTTTTTTGGACACTTTTTAGACCTCAAGGTCTGATAGATATTGGAGTTAGAGTAGACTAGGGTCCCTTGTTCCCTAACTCATAATTTAAACAGAAATGTAAACATCTAGATACACATTTAGTACAGTAGTGATTACTATACACACATATGTAGGTTGAACTTTGCCCCCAGCAACACCACCTTCTCTGTGTATGTTCCTGGCAACCTATTGACACCCCCCACTGCCAGTTTCAATATGATCTTCATAATGCACAGAAATTGGGATCAGAAAACTTGGGTTTGGGTTTAAATTATATTACTAACACTTATTAGTACATTAGTAACATAATAAGCTTGCAGTTCCTCAGAATATCAAAATCTTTATCTGAGACGTGAGCATCGAATGGTATCAAAGCTTAAAAATGCTGTGCAAATTATTGTTTACATTCTTTCTCTACTGGGGAACAGAACTGTGAGTGAGAACAACCAGAGATGGTGGGAACAATTTCAGTGGTAATGATAATATTTGTTTCTGGACTGACAGAGCCTCTCAGATCTTTTCCCTTTCCCAAGTAGATGTGTCTGGGTCACATGCAGTCAGAGGCAGACTTTAAAGTTTCCTCCACCAGATGGGCTTGGTGTGTCACTTATGGTGGCACCAATACTGGCCTACCTGCCCTTGTCACTGTCAGCGTTGGCTTTATCACCACTGAGCCACTGAACTGAGCTCTCACCAAGTGGGGAGAGCTTTTTGAGATCATGTTCCTGGAACTCCACTCTTATGGTTGTACCCAAAGTATTCCTGCACACGGGCAGTACATCAGTGTCGGCACATGGTCGGAACCAGGTATCTGTACCTGGAGGTGGTGAGGAAAGAAGAAATTAGCAATATTAACAATCTGCAACCATCCCTAGGGGAGTAGGTAGTACTAACAGAGCCCAAAGGGCAGACCTGCCATGGGAGTGAGGATCACAGAACAGTCCTGGCCCTTGATGAGGCTGTGCCCCACCCCTGAAGCAGAAAGGGGGAGAAATTCCCTGTCTTCTTCCTTCCTCCTATTCTCTAGTCTCCTGTTAGTATTTTCCATTAACTCAGCCTGGTGAGAAGACCTTTGCCAAGGGAGCGTGGGGGATATCGTTTGCTGGAGAAAGGGCATGAATCTGAGAGCAAATAGGCAAACTACCAGCACAGAATCTCAACTCACTCTTAGAAAAGTGTTCCCACTAAGAGGGGAAGGTTGTCTCCAACTTTCTTCTCGTTCCTGAGGCTGAATATTTTTTTCTTGAGGCCTATCAGGTTTTAAATTCTTTTTTGTTCTTTTTTTCCAGCAGGCCCACTGCATGCTGTGCAGAGTGCTTCTGGCAATCTCTGCTTGGGACCATCGATACATGCTACTCTGCCTGTTCGCTTGGATGCCTACAAATGTCTACCTAGCCTTCTCTTCAGTGACTTGGTTGGATTACAAGGTTGAAAAAGGAGAAAGAAAGCCAGAATCAACAGGTCACCTACAAGCCCAAGCGCATTAACTCTTTGAATCATATAGAAGCCAGAAAATTCTGAGAAGGAGCAGGGCAATTGCTGAGGTTTCATGGTGGTTATTACCCATCACTCCCCCGGTGGGTTACAGGGACAAGCTCTCTAAATAGCATTAGCTTTAGCCATGGTCTTCCAGTCTTGATTAGAATGATAGAATTTTAGAGCTAGAAATCTTAGAAATCAGCAATCTCAACATTTTCTTCTTCATTTTATAAACAGTAAAAATGGAGTCCAGCAAGGTTAAGTGACAAGGTCACAATCACTTAACAAGTTAGTGGTTTGAGCTGATTTCCAAACATTCCTTTTACATCTGCACGAGTCAGTTTTACCTAGGTTCCATATTGACTCGCCCTCTTAATGTTATGTAAAGGGTCTAAACAATTCCTCTCTTCCCACTTCAGAGTTTCTCGTGTTGAAGATCACTTCAGGGAGTCTCCTGGCTTTCTTTTGCAGAACACTTTCAGCAAATTTTTATTTTCCTCGGGTGCCTCCACCTCACTCTGTACAAATTATTCTGAGCCCGGGGAAGATCGAGAATGAGCTCAGGTTTGAACGGGTCTGTGCCTTCTGTTATTCCACGGAGGAGTTGTGTGGCTTTCCCTTCACCGGTGTTGTTTGTGGTTCAAGCATGCTAAGGCTCTTTCTGTGAGAAGAACTTCTGCGATTTTATTACCAGTAAAGTAAAATGGAAAACCAATACTATCATTTTCACTGTAGGTTTTATTTCCCTGGTGATACATGAAGAAATTCGTTCAGTGAAGAAGCCAGCTATAAGGGTGGAAATCTGCAGATGGCAAGTCCATTGGAGCCCAGAAGAGAGGGTGTGTGGTCAAGGGAAGGAGGAAAGTCTGACCCTTGGTGGGAGGGCTAATCTCACCAACTTCAGGCAGTGGCTTTCTGTAGTTTAGTTTTTTATCTGAATAGGGAAGGAGAAAAAGGCAAAGATGCCAAGAGAATAAAGAAGGAAAGAAAGAGGGGGGGGGGCACAGCAGAGACAGAGAACAAAGGAAAGAAGAACATGGAAGAAAATGCTCCCATAGAAGTGAAGAGGCCTTGGGAGAATAAGAATCAAAGAAGGAGGCTATGTATCACTCAATACATTTAATGTAAATATGATTTTTTTTGGTCTGCAGCACAAAGATTAAGTATCTATTATTTTTTCTTACAAGTGTGAGATAATCAGACTCAGGCCCTGTTTCTTTGCAGAGAAATCAGAGT